AATTAGCTYAAACCTCTGGATCAAGAGTGGGCTTTTTAAGCAGAGGTTTAGTAACAGCTACCTTAAAAGCTTGTGGTATGTAGCCGGTTAACAGACGTTATGTTAATCTGATTTAATATGGAACTGTCAGTGATGGGGAAAACTTCCTTAAAAAGTCCAGTTAGGACAGAGTCTAATAGACAAGTTGTTGGTTTACATGATGAAACTAATAAGGTCAGTTTAGGAAGATCAATAGAAGAGAAATGGTTCAAACATAAATCTGGTGCTACAGGTGGTTCTGTGGTTCCGGACAAGACAATGTATCTGTGCTATTCATGGGGAGGAGGTTGCTGTACTATTAACTAAGTTATCAACTAGTGTGGGGATAAAGTTTTGATAACGTTCCTGTATTGTACTGACACATGGCTGAGAGGTAAGTTCTTTAAATTTATTCACAGTTTTATCAGATAAACACAGACTATAATAGAATTTCTGTCCAGAATCAGTGTAGTCAATAATTCTAAATTCAAATGTAATTAAAAAATGGTCAGACAGAAGAGGTTTTTGGGGAAATATTATTACATTTTCAATGTTTAAGCCCATGTCAGAACAAGATCAAGAGTGTGTTTCAGACAGTGGGTGGGTTTATTGAGTGTAACCAATTGAGTCTATTATTGAGTTGAAAGCTGAACTAGGGCTGTCGTTGGAAATATCTATATGAATGTTGAAGTCACCTACTATAATTGATTATCTGTCCTAAGAACTAGCTCTGATAGAAATTCAGAGAATTCAGATAGAAATTCAGTGTAAGGGGCAGGCGGACGATATATGATAACTAGATGTATTGGTTTATATGATTTCAAGCTTGGATGGATGAGGCTGATTATAAGATTTTCAAAGGAGTTTTGCTCAAGGGTTGATAGATAAGTCCGATTTACTTACTGTAGCAGATCTACTGATGATTCTGTTAAAACATGTTTCTAAAATGTGTTTTACGTCTGATTGTAAACCTGACTATTCTACTTGTTTTCTTTAGTGTTTACAGAATGGATGTGAGTCTTACTGTATAATCATGGTTGTTTGACTGTAAAGACTGGGACACAAATTTCA